TTTCTTGTGGGTTACTGCTTATAAAGGACTGGGTGTTCTTACAGGCATCTGGCCTAGGGGGTGTCTGATTTTTGTGATGTCTATATGATGAGCAGTGCACGCTGCAGAAAATCCAGTGAGAACATCAGTGCCTCTGTGGGTTGCTTCTAATGAGCATCAGTGTGTTGAGTTTTCTGTAAACTGACTTAGTAAAAAAGGCCTTTTATTTTCAAAATACTATAAAATTTAAACAATATCATTGTTGTAATAAACTGACAAGAAAAGTAAGCGGACTGCTATGTAATAGGAGTGAATTTGGCTTTAGTATGAACTAAAGTCACAATCTGCTCATTGAATAAAATAATCAGGAGGCAAAGGATGATCACAGTTACAAAAAAAGGTACGCACACCCATACGCTTTTATATAGCTGCCCTCTTCTGCTGCTTTGCAAAGTGATCACCTGCATGTGGCCCATGGGACGGAGCAGTGTCACCCCAACCTCAGAGCCCCTGGGTGCTGGAGGCTGAAGGCAGATCTTCCCCCAGAGATCCGAGCTGCCTCTGCTGGCCGATGTGAGATGTGTGCACGTCCCTGAGGTTCTATAGCCTGGGGAACTGCAGAGGCACTCGGGGAAGTCTTGTGGAGTTTTTGCATTAAACAAGTTTGCCAGCTGGGTGATTTCTGCAAGCTTGCTGTGAACTGATGTAACCAACAGCAGCACAAGCATCTAATGCTAAGGGTAAAATTGCTGGCTACTTCAAAATTAAATTTATAAAAACATTAAGCAGAGTTACGGTAGTGACAGGAAACAATAAAACAAAGGAAGTTCAGATGAGGTTGAAGCATATCCTGTTCTCCCAGCAGCGGGGCGTATTAAAGGAACACAGCAGGCCTGAATATAGGTTTTCCTTGACAGTTCTTTCCCAGTGGACTGATTTCACAGGGTTTGAGGTGAGCTTTGCGGGGTCACAGTACTTCTGTACTCTGTCATAACCCAGAATATCCCATTACTTTGGGACAAGTCTTCCCCAGTGCCAGGCAGCTTACCCACTGGTCCTGCCTGCTCCTGAGTGCACAGAACTCCTCGGAGGGGAGAAGACCTCAAACATTAGCATCACTTTCTGCTATAGCCAAGTTAATATGGTGAGAAAAAAAATTAATAAGGTTATTTCATAAGAGAGCTGGCATCTTCAGGCTGAACCGCCTTCCCTGTCTTATGGATCTTATGGAAGCTATCGGGGTACTTCTGTTCCTAGAGGACAGTACGTATCATTTAACCTTATCAGCAAATGTCTTTATTTGTGCTGTACACACATAAGTGAAATATAATGTTAAAACCCAGCCAAGCTTTTAATAAAATGTACTCTGCGTGCTGAAATGCAGCCATCGTGCGTATGCAATGTCTGCATGCTAAAAATTGTTTGGGGCCATCTATAAACGTGCTGCACGTTTTGAGTTTTGCAGATGAGACCAAATCTCATTTTCTTTTCAGAAGTGCCATAATTTCTCATCCTGGGAAATTTAGGAAATAAAGATGCTTTTACGCATTTAGTGTTTATTTGCTGTTAACTATTAAAGCCCTGTAAATCTTCTTACTGCGTTTGCCATAAAACTTAATAAGGTGCATTAAATGTGGGAGATGGTGACAACTTCAGCTGCTGTCTGCCTTGCAAATCTTAGGCCCTTCAGAGCGTGCACTGCACCTATTGCTTCCGCGGTCATAAAACAACAGTGCTGTTTTCCATTCCAACTTCCCTTTTTATAAACTCATAATTTAAGGAAAGGTTTGAGAGAAGAACTTGTTGTTCTTGGATGTGGTCTAAAGAAGGGATTTTTTTTTTTTAAATTTTTTTTAGAAAAATTGAAAGAAATCTGTATTTGTTGGATTAAGGAGGAACAGCACAAGCTCTGTTTGTGTGTTTGCAAATGTGTGGCATTACAACATGTTTTTCATTAATTAACCAGGTGGGAGTCGTGGGAAGGGAATGGAATAACACATGGAGTCTCTTAAGGAGAATTTATTTGATCTAAACCCAGCTGAAGCATTACCTCAGAAGAGGCATAAGTAGCACTTACAAATTCACAGTTTTTTCTCCTGTCCTTCCCATCTGAAGCCCGTGAGGTTTCTGCCTGAAGTTCTTAAATTGATTAAGCGGGTTATTTTGCACAAGGAGTTGTTCTCGTGTGCTTTTTGGAGCCAGCTCAAGTTCAGATTTCTGCAGCAAACAAGAAAAAAACCAAAGTGGGAGCCCCCAGTTCCCAGCTAAACCCGGGGTGCTGCATTTCAGCACGCAGCAGCACATTTTTCCTGCCAGGCTGTAATCTCTTGATAATGGAAACCCTGACGCATAACCTTAACTGCAGCTTTGCAGTGGCATTATCATCACATTGATAAACATGCCATCTGAGCTCTGTTAGTCAGAACATAATGGCTTTGTGTATCTTGTCATGATATTTGTTTCTTGGGATAAAATATGGGACCTGCACGGAGCACATATGCAAACATTAGCATACTTGTTCCTTGTTCTTCCCCGGTTATTTATAGCTCCCTGTTTACACATTGGAGCAGGATACTGTAGAATCTAATAAATTTGACTGGGGCCACTGAAATTATAAAATGGCAGGAGGAGAGCTTGTGTTCTGGCTGGTCAATAGCCATGGTAACCACTCCATAAACATCTCTGTGGGCTGTCAGTATTGACTGGCCCAGCGAGCCATGGGATTTCCTAATGCTGCTTCACAACAATAATTATCCACAGCATTTTTGTCAGCTGCGTTACGGATGGTCTTCAGCCACAGCACAAACAGTAATGCTGACAGCGTTCTGTCATAAGTAATGTTTTCAAGTAACACTTAAGTGGTCGCATTGAGATGCTTCTCTTAATTTTTCAAAGTACAGAATTTGGGTTTTCGTGCAGTTGTGCTCCAGAACCCCTTCTGTGCAGCTGTAGCTGTAAGGCTCGTGGCTCTGCATGGCAGTGCTGGTGTTGCCAGGTGCCTTCTGCCAGTGCATGAGATGCAGACGTGCCATTTGTTGCACATCACTTGTGCAGAGAGGAGAAAATCTCAGCTGCCAGGCAGCCTGTTTGATGGCACACGGGAGAGCCACAGGTCACTGATGTGGTAACGATTTGTTTCTTCAATATTTAAAAGCACTTTGGAGCACACTCTGTTGTGCCTGACCTGGAGAAAAGCAGTTCCTGCTGCAGGCGGGGGCAGAACTGAGCACTGTGCCCGAATTAATGGTTGGGTGAATGGTTGGATTGGATGATCCTGTGGGTCTTTTCCAACTTTAGTGATTCTATGATTAATGGAGGACTGGAACAGGAAGGAAAACTTGGACAATACAAGAAACTCCTTCTTGAAAAGGCAGTAACAAAAGCCAGGCCTTGCGAAGTTGTAGATTTTCTATTGGAGCTGATGAAGCTGCTGCTTGTGCGTGGTTGTTAAGATGCAGTGAGCCACAGACAGGGATCCCATTGCTGTTTTGGCATCTGGGAAAAAGGCAGGAGGGCTCCTTGGCTTTCCCTGGGGCTGCTGCCATCTTTGCTGGCCAGGATGCACGAAGCAGAAGAGGTGCAGCCGTGGAGCGACCTCCCCCTCAGTGCCCTGGAAGCTCCAGGCCTTTCACACTCTAAATGCCCAGAGGGACGGAGCGCTGCCTGCTGCACGATGCTCATGCCTTGCTCTGCTGCTCTCTGCCTGTGCTGGGCTGCTTCCTTGCTGCCAGTCTTTGCTCCTGCAGCCTTCGTGCACATCCAGCTGGTGGGTGTGAGCAGAGGCTGGCAGGAGCTGGAAGCTCCCAGCACACACACGTGCCCCAGGCGCGTTCCTGGCTCACCCTGCAGCCCTACTGGTTTGGAGGGTCAGGGTTAGGCGAGGACAGATCCCTGTGGGAGCAGATCAGCAGAACGATAGAGGTGAGGTGGCGGTGCTGGGAGCTCAGGAGGGCCCTGTTCAGTCGTGTTGCCCTCGCACACCGTGGCACCTGCCTGTGTGCACGGAGATGTGGTCCAACGTGCACTAAACCGACCTGAGAGCTGCGTTTCTGCTTCGGGCATTGCCCGATCCCTGGCACGTTGGGGTTGGGCCGCTAACCGGCATCCCTGCGTAGGCAGAAGTTGGTACGTGCCAGTGTGTGCGCTGCTGTTAGGGCACGGGCACGCCGAGCTCCGGCCCTGCAGGACGGGGGCACGCCGTGCTGCGTTTTAATCTCACGGTCGCGCTCCGGCGTGGCCAGATGTGGATCGCGAAGGTCCCTTCCAGCCTCGCTCCCTTCTGCCATCCCGCACACCGTCGGGGCGCGGCCGGCCGCCCCCAGCCCGGCTCGGGGCTCCTCGGGCGGAGGCGGCGCAGCCCCGCTCCGGGCGCGGCCGCCGCTTCCCAGCTCCGCGGGGCCGGGGCCGGGGGGGCCGGGCCGATCCAGGCCGCCTTTTGCGGCGCACCCGCCCAGCCCCGCCGCGATCACATGCTGGGCGCCCGCGGCCGCCTCCCGCCCGGCCCGGCCCTCCGCTCCGCCGCCGCCCGCCATCGCCGCGCTCCCCCTCCCCGCGCCGCCGGATCCCCCTCCTCCCCCTCCTCCTCTTCCTACGGCCCCGGGGCTGCGCTCGGGGGGCTCCTCGGGAGCCGCGGGTTGTGCCGGTGGGGCTGCCGGGGCTGCCGGCCGTCGCGCCGCGGGCTCGGATCACTTTTCTCCCCGGGAAATCGCCGCTGCGCATTCGCCGTTCGCCGCTTCTGCCGAGTTGGGAAGCGGCTCGGGGCCGCGCGGAGCTCCGCCGGGCTCGGCTCGGCGCTGGCTGCGGCACCGACTGCGCTCAGAGCCGCGGCCGTCGGAGATCGGACGCCGAAGGGAATCCGATGTGATTTCGGCCGTGTCTGCGCGGAGCCGTCCCTCCCCGCCCGCGTACGTGTGCGCTTCTCTCTCTCTCTCCCTCTCGCCCGGTGCCCGGGCTGCCGTGCCGCTCCGGGAGCGCTCTGCCTTCCCCTGCTGACGTGCCCTTTTTGTTATCTTTTATCGCAGAAACGGTTCATTAAGGGGCTGAGGCAGTACGGCAAGAACTTCTTCAGGATCCGAAAGGAGTTGCTTCCGAATAAGGAGACCGTGAGTACACCCAGACTTTATGTCATTCGCCTTTCTGCTGCTGTTTCGGTGCTCGCTCTTACAGAACTGTTCCCTTCCCACCCCGATTGAATTCTGCTGGCGCTGGGGGAAGAGGAGCGCACAGCTGTGGGAAGGTGGCTGTGATTTTGGGGGCTGTTTGTGGGGTTTCAGCGCATGAAAGGCGTTACGTAAAGCAGTCGGTGCCGGACGGAGTCGTTCAGGCAGCGCGGAGTGTATTTCTGGAGAGCAAATCTAATTTTAAATTCTGACATTATGAGGGGATAATACGTTTATGTCGCCGAGTCGGGCTCAAATGGCAGCGGGTAATTAAAGCAAGCCTAAACCAAAACAGAATCTAATTGAATCTGGAAGAATGAGGTATGTGCTGCTGCTCCCCGACCTGCGCGCTCCGTGCTCGCGTTTAACTCTTCGTCTCCTGCAGCGTGCGAGCGGCAAATGTGGAACTTCAGCTGCAGAACTGCTCTGTGCCTCCAACTTCACACAGCTCCACGGCTGCCCGGCTCTGCTGCCAACCCCGGGGTGGGCAGGGAGCAGAGCGAGACTTTTTTGGGGGCAGAGAGAAGCTTTGGGAAGCCTGGGGAACGCGGTTCGCTTCCCACGAGTGCTGCTCTTTCGGCGTCTCTAGAAGCTTCGGTTTCTGTGCTGCAGGTGTCATTTAGCTGCCAGGAGGGTTTGGGAGAGCAGTGCTCGTGTTTGTTCTGAATTCAGATAGCGGTGGGTAAAAACCAGGGCAGAGTGACTGTATTTTAGCAGTGTCAGTGCATTTACGTTAGCGATGCTGAAGGTGTTTATTTAGAGCGTGATGGAGATCAGGTTGTTCAGACTGTTCTTTGTGGGTTTTTTTTTTTGTGGAAGCTGGAGGTTCGGTAGGAAGGAGCATCCCCGTGAAAATATTTTTAAGCCTCTGACAGACCATAGGATGTGTCAGTTCTCTTCTCGTGACGTGGTGCTGTGATATCACAGCTGTGCGTCAGTAAATGGTTAATGAGAGCGGTGAATCAGATTGAAGGGGAGGGGGCAGTGATTCCTGGGGTGCCTCGGTCGGTCTCTGATTACATTGAGAACGATAGGAAAACCTAATTGCCAAACAAGTGTGGGTAAACTCAGCTTTGGTGTTTGGTCGGGGTTGGGGCAGGAAGGCCTGATTTGGGGAGGGGGACAGCCAAAATAGAATGCTTCTTAGCAGCACACCGCCAGCTTCAGCACTCCTTTCCTCTTTGCAGTAATACTTAACCATGTATTTAGGACAGATCAATATGTACTTCAGAAGGTATTCTGCTGATAGTAAAGTTACTGACGGTCGTGAGTGCTCTTTTAAAGTTTGAACGAGAACTGTGAAATAGGCTTTTAAATATAACATGTCTTTTTGCGGTGGGGAAAAGGAGCCTGCAGGAAAAAAGGAAGACTAAAGCTGAGAGCTGGGGGCACGCGCCTGACCCTGCTTCTGCTGCGTGGCTTCTGCTGCTTGCACTTGGGTATCAGGCCTAAGGCTCTGCAAAAGGTTTGCAAGTGGTGTGAAATGTGATCCGGGCTGTTATTGCTCAAGTGTTAGATTTTTGTTTCGTTAAGCCTCCATTTTTAGCGCAGGGAAGACTAAATATTAACTCGGAGCAACTGGGAGCCGTGTGCTGGTGGCTTGGAGCAGGCTGCTGTAGCCCCTGGTGGTAACTGATCTACAAGTAACCTTTGACCAGCAGCAGATTGTTTAATCTCTGTTTCCTATTTTTGCCTACAGGTCCCCTTCTGCGCTCTTTTAATTCCCACTTTTTTTCTTCCCCCCCCCAAACAAAACTTGCAGCAGCTTTTCTATCACAAGACGCCCAGAATAAAGACAGCAGTAAATAATATCTCACTTCCCAGCTTTGCTTTTCCTCGTTATGTGGCATATTGCAAATTACAAGGCTGCAGAATGAATTTCTCTGCACTTTTTTCATTCCCAGAATAATTGCAGATACTTTGCTTGTCGCTCTTCTGTTGCAGCATGAAGCAACCTCTTAGCAATTCCAGAATTCTGGAAAAAAGGCCTCCTTTTCCTGTTTAGCCACCGTATTAACATGAGGTAAATCTGTAAAGTCATTTATACGCTCACAGGAGAGCTACAGCAACTCCTCAGTCTGCTTGAAAATGAGACAGGGACATTCTTGAAGTGACTTGCCCTAAATGGAAACCAGGTTATGGGTCAGTACAGCCTCCACGCTTCTCATCTGTTAGGCTTTACCTAACTAGTCCCTGCAGTCTGCAGGGAGGGCAGGCAGGGATTCTCCCTTTCTGGAAAGCCCTCTGAAAATAAAGTTTCCTTATTTTCATGCTTTTCCCCAGTGCTTTGCTTTTAATGCTGGAAGAATTCCTCCTAACGCCTCCTTAAGCCCGGCACTGAGAATATTGCATTAACAGAAGTTGGAAATACAAAATTACATAAAATTATACAGGAGCTAGGCCTGTCATGTATTAAAACAAGTTGATGTTACCGTAAAGGAAGTCTGAGGATTAACATGACGGTGTTTCTTTCATAATACCAGGAGGTACACAGCAGCTGTGGTGAGCAATGAGAATTAGGCCACGCTGTACACGTCCTCACAAACACAGTGAGGGATGTCCTATTTGAGTTACACCTGTGCTTTTTTTCCTCTCTGCAGTCAACATGTTAAGAACCCTATGTTTCTCATGTGTATTTTAACTAACTCAACATGTTTTTTCCAATATTTTTAAACACAGTTAATTCTAAGTGAATAGCAAGCAAGAACAGATCTTTATGAAAAATATACCAACTGTGTATCAAAGCAGTATTTTTGTTGAGGTCTTTGCTAGCCCAGTTTATTTCAAAGCAGTTATGTGGAAGGGAGGTTCCCAGTGGGCATGGGGGTAAACAGCTGTAGCGTTCTTTCTCTTCAAGCTTTTATGAGCAAGAGACACAGGAACTAAAGCAGCTCTTATCTGAGCGTGCCCCCTGCTGAAACAGGAGTGCTGAAGTTGATTAAGGAAAGCGGATGGCTTTGAGGCTGCATCAGTGTTAAGTGGGGATGTAGTGGAGAAAAGGTGCTTAAATACAGCATCTGAAACTTGCTGGGTTTCCACTGCACTCTGACCTTGTGTCTCCGTCCTTCCCCGTGCTCCCAGATAGTTTCCTCTGGTTGTGGCCCCAGCTGTAGTTGAATGGCACTGCTGGGGAAATAGCCTGCTCTCTTAGCAGCCCTCCTGATTCTTCCACATGGTATGCCAGGAACTTGTGGAGACGTGGTGGTGACGCGACCGGTCTTCATTAATAACTTCCATCTAGATTCCTGTGTTGTGAGATGCAAGCTAAAGAGCTAGCAGCAAGGTTTCGTAATCATCTCAGATGGCTTTGTGTATGCTTTTGCTTCCTGTTTTGGGCTAATTTGCTAAAACTCTGGTGGTGCAGGATTCTCAAAGCGTTAACAGTTCTTTGCTCTGAATTCTTCAGGTGATTACAGTGAGCTACTTGAATTTGAGCATTTCAGAAGGACCAGCACCGATAGGCCTTTGCTAAGTGGGCTTACATGCCTACAAGGTTGGGGCTTGACTTTTTGTGTTCTTGTAAATAGCTTAGCTCCGTGCCAGTGACGTGCACAAGGTAAGCAGAAGCCTGGGTGCAGTGGGAGGAGGAGGCTGAGTCACACTGTTGGCTCGCTCCTGGTCAGGGCTGGCTCCTGCTCTTGTCCCAGGCCTGTCCCCCAGTGCAGGGCTGTAGGCTCCTAGAGTTGGTGTCACAGGTTGCCCGAGCTGTTTAAGGCCACAATCCCAGAAGAAAGGATCTGATTGTTCTCTAGTTGGAGTTCTGTAGTCCCATTTGGAGTCGATGCGTCTCTGACCAGCAGAGGTCAAACTCCTTAGCCTCTAGAAATGGAGGGGGACATATGTGTGTGTCCCTTCAAGCAGCTCTGTGTAAGTTTCAGGCTAATAACATGTGTCAGTAGGTGGCTCTCACAATTGCTGCAGTTGAATAGGGCTAAGGGAACGCCAAACTTTTCATGGAAATGGGCCCAAGTGCTTGTAACCTTTTTTTTTTCTAGCCTATTTTTAAAACCAGGGATGGCACCTCCTTGAACTCCTTGATGTTCTCTGATGGCTCCCCCTGCACTCATTGGTGAAGATTTATGGTATGGGGCTGTGCACGTGGTCTCCTTGTCTTCTTGTCTCTTCTGGCCAGGCTGAAGCTCTGGGTGAGCCTGGTGGCAGATCCAAGAGAAGAACAGGGTGCCTTTGTGTGGACACACTGACTTGGGTCTCTGTCGAGCACATTGGCATCTTTGGGGCCTGTGAGGTTTGGTCTTGTCCTTAGCAGGAGGCAGCAGCAGATCAGAAAGTTGCACCTCTGGCTGGGTGTTGGGCATTTAGCCTTGAGAGTGTCAGGGAAAACAGTGGCTATCAACTGCTTTCCTTAGGTCAAAGCACCTGCAGTGTGCTCTGTTTTGTATGTAAGGACTAAATACACATCAATTTATTCTGTAGGATGAGCGTTCCCTGTTACAGTAGTAAAATCCCTCTGTCAAAATTAAATGCAGTTGGGATTTATTTCTGGGACTAAATAAGCTGTCCACTGTTAGTGTTAGGAGGCATCGTGAGCGTGCTGTGAGCTTTCAGCATAAACTTCTGTTTAATTTTAGATCGGGGTTTAGATAAACAGTTTTATTCTTGCCTCATTAATGCTTAATCTTGTGTTACATAATCCACAATATTGGCTTCCTGAGTGGCTCTTCAGTGCATGTGGGGCTTGTGGGGTGCGTGTGCTCCTGGCAGCACAGTGCCCTGCAAAGTGCTGGGGGCAAACACGTGGCAGAGATGCCTTTCTCCTTTGATAGTAGGATAATGAGGTGAAATCCCTGAGTACGAAGTGATTAGTTAGCCCTACGTTGGCTTTTTAGTGTTTATTCTTCATGGTATAACTTAGCAGTAGCTGAATTGAATGGTGTCTGTAGCATGGGCGTTATCACCGTTCTCCTTTCCCAGAGGAAATATTT